GACAATTGGGTAAATATAAATTAAAAAAATTAATTTCACTGGAAAGAGCCCAGATACATTCTTAAAGCAACACATGGTGCTGCAGTATTGTAACGGAGAACGACTTGAACTCGAGAGCTAGAGATGGTTGACTTCATGGGCAAAAACTGGAACACTGGAAGTTCCAGACAAACTTAAGGAAAAACTTAAGGAGTGGAGTCTCCTTCTCTGGAGATGTTCAAACCCACCTGGACACTTTCTTGTTCTCCTGCTTGAGATGGACCTGCTCTGGCAGGGGGGTTGGACTGGATGATCTCCTGAGCTCCCTTCCAACCCCACCAGTCTGTGATTCTGTCACTTGGCAGTGTTGAGTTAACAGTTGGACTTGATGATCTTAAGGATCTTTTCCCACCTAATGATTCTATGAATCCAATTAAAATCCAGCATTTCTTACCCTGCACTTCCAGCTAATAGCACAACTGTGAGTGGTGATGGATACAAACAGGGAGCCCTGCTCCCATGGGTGTCCTCTGACAGTCCTGCAGTGGAGAGGTCCATTTAAGCTGTTTATTAATTAGCAGTAAGGAGAGCTCAGGCTGTGTTGGAAGAGCTGGGACAGAGCCATGGAGCCCCAGGCAGGGCAGTCACTATAAGGGACACCAATGAACACACCATGATGGTGCCCAAGAGCCTCTTTTTATCCCTGCTGAATGGGCATCGACTGGGAAGAAGCTCAACTGCTTCCGCATAGGTCAACGGCTAGTTGTTTATTTTTTCTCTTTTATAGCACAGTAAAGCAGACCCATAAAGCAAGGTGTGCTGTCAGAGCCATGGGAGAAGCCAACTGCCACCTCACCCAGAGGCTCAGTCACTCCCTGACCTCCTTGCTACAGCATATTTCCACCCCTGCAAGGCTATCCCTGCCTAGGCAGTAGCAGGAAAGTCCAGGGTTTCAGGTTTGATGTGTTATCTACCCACCATCTCTTTGCAATGATAAGGGAAGGAGCACACCTCCTGTCTTCCTCAGACACTAAAACAGTTTTCCCAGCACAGTGTTACTCGGAACCATCAGCCACGAGCTGTTACCAGCTTTGCTGATATTTACCTGTATTAACTGGGAAACTGGACCAGAAATACTGACTTGTAGGTGCAGTGTGAAGCCCATCAGCTTTTTGCTTTGCACCCTTCACATACTCATCACCACAGGCTGCTTCAAACAGCCTTCCCTGTTTGGTCTGGTCCTGCTGCTCCCACTGTCAAGGCAAACACTGCTCCAGGCAACACAGTTTTCTCATTACAAGATGCTGACGAGCAAACTTTACCTAATTTGTTATGTCCAGTCCATTTTCCCAAGGAAGGATAAAAACCTGAAGCTCAGCTGACACAGAGCCAAGACCTGAATGATGCCTTTGGAGCTTCTCCTGCCCTTCAGCCTGGATCACAGCTCTGTGCTTGTCAGTCCAGAGGAGCTGGTCAGGGGCCCAGGGATGGCTTCTGCACCCAGCACAAGTGCAGCTTGGACATGGCTGTCTGGGTGCCTATACCCAGGCATTGACAGGAGACTTCTTAACGGATCCCTGGGATGTGTCTGTGTTTTTTTTTTCCTTAGGCATTCGATAAAACCATTGCAAAGGACAACTCCTTAGCTGTTGGCTTCTTTCAGAGAGGGTTTGTCCATCTGCAGCTGGAAATGTAAGTGAGGTATAGGTCCATGTCATTCTTTGGTTTTCTCCTTTTAGACGTATTTTATTCCTAAAATTCAATTCTTCCAGCAATCTTCAACAATTCATAAGGTCTACTTTGGCCTTGGAAACCATGTCACAAGTCAGCAAGCCTTATCTCTGATAAGGCTGAGAAGATAGAAGCTGCACAACTCTGGGGCCCCAGGGGTGGTTAATATAGGATATTACTGTCCTGTACACAGAGAGAAGGCAGCTGCTCCTGTACGTGGGGCTCCCAGGAGTTTATGTTACCATTCAGATTTTGCTTTGAGAATTAAAAAAATATAATTGCACTGCTTGGTGTGTCTTCACGTGGCACACACAAGTCTGACCTTCCCAAAAATGCAGCCTGCTCACAGTGTCTGACTCTCCCTCTCTGCTGAGAGTAGTCTGCAGACCTGTCCCCCACCCGAGGAGGTGACAGCCACTAGCACCCCATGGCTCCTTCCCTCATCAGCTGCTGCTCCCACCCACCCACATCCACCTGAGCACCTTCTCTTGGCCATGCTCACTGGTTCTTGGCCAGGTGACCACTGCAGAGCTCTTCCTGGACCCTTTCTTTCACCACCCACAGCTGCAGGAGGAACCTGTTTTGATTTCAGATGCATAACTGGTGTAAATTCAGACTAATTCCCTCCTTATCCTTAGAGATTCTTGAAATTTCTGCTCACGTGGCTCTGGCCATGTGCATCAGCAGCAGGGGTTTCCAAGCCCTTACTTCTCCCCCAAGTTTTCTGCTGGGACAGTGACAAGCTGGACAAAGAGCTCACAGCTTTTGTTAATCTCTGTTCTTGGCATTTTCTCCTCCTTGGAATTGTAGCTATTTCAATTACCAAAACCTGCTGTTCATCCCAGTCAGTAAAACTGTGCAGACAATCCCAGACACACCATATTCCTTTTGTTCTAGCTACCAACAAGGAGAGGACAGGGAATTTTCTGTGGTCACAAGATGACCCACATCTCTGGTGCAGGAGCTGTTCTCATCCAGGCTGTGGAGGAGAATACATGGTTTTTGCTAGCTTGACTTTTGAATTTCTTAATTGGAGTCTTCAGCTTTTTTTAGTCTCAGTTTCTTCTGTCATCTCTGCACTGTAGGTATGAAGAAGCTCTCTCTGACTATCATATGGCCTTCAGTCATCTCAGAAAAAATCCCTTCATCGATTACAAGCAGCTGGGGCTGAGGCACATCCTCTATGCATGGGAGGTAAGAGTCCACCTGTCTCAGCAGTCCTTCCTCTCTGTTAGCAGATTCATCAGGTGTTCATCAGCACATGTTAGTAACAAGAGCTTTTCAAGACTGTACATTAGAACAGTAAAAAAATTCTGCTTGTGCTTTTTTTTTTTAAAAAAAGGAACTTAATAATAAAATTTTGTCATGAAACAATGTCATCTCCGAGGAGTTTAGTGGATTACACAGTTTGAAAAGTACAACTGTTTCAAGCAGATGCACAGGAATTTGTATGTTGGGTTTTTTTTAGCTTATCTATGGCATGTAATATTTACACTTAGATGTATGCAAGTTTTGTGAACTCCTCTGCTCTAAAAGCTGAAATAGGTTGAAGTACAGACAGATGGGAACAAAATTGGTCCATAATGAAGACTTTAAGAAACTTCTGTCTTTCCAACTCTAGCAACTGGTCTTAACATTACCTCTGTGTTTTTCCTTGCACGCTGGGTTTGCAAGCTGTGTTTTGCTTCCGTGACACTTCACTCTGCAGCTCTTGCACTGTTACATGGAGTCAACCTGCCACATTCTGTTCAAAGAAGTTCAGATCCAAGTCTGAATTGATTGTAAATATTTGTAATACTTGGAATGTAAAAGACTCCTAGAAACTATACTTTACTGTGAGGGTTCATTTTATCTTCTGTCCCGAGTCCACACACACGGCCTGAAATGCAGATATGGGAAAGAGTATTTAATTCTTAACTTCCTCAAGAGCAAGGAGCCATTGTGTAACTCAAGTCAAGCGTGCCCCGAAACCCGTCCTTCAGTCTCGGTCAGTTTTCATGCACCTTATACCTGGCAGGAAGAAGCTATCTGTGGCATTTGTGGTATTACCCAAGCCTTATTGTTTTTAACAGTTTCAGTGCCACAGCCCTGCCTCTCTGAGCTCACCCACACTTAGAAACCATCGTTCCCTTTGAAAGGTGCAGGGCTGCAGAAGAGCCCCGAGGCCATCGGGAGGAGGTTGGTGCCCTTTCTGGTGTGAACACACAGGCCCTCACTCCACATGCTCTAGGCATTGCCAGGGCACGTGCACTTAGTGTGCTGGCACTCAGGACTCAGGATCTGCATCTTGATTTGACTGTATCTTGTTCTTACATCTACCTGCAGCTCATTTTCCAAAATATGCAAACATAATCCCCCTGCAGAACTGTGCCATCAGCTGTCCCCATGCATGGCCTCTCACACGCTGCATCTGATCACCTCAAGGGGAGGAGGTGTGCTCTATGGTTTGAAAGTCCAGAAATATTTGCCTTTTGCAAGACTATAGCACTTCTGAGCTGAGTCAGAACTGCTGTCTTACCTCTCCAAGAGAGAGATGTCCTCTCTGCAGATCTTGTAGATGTTCAGGATGGCCATTCCCCACCACCTCCCAAACAGCAGCCTTCTGCTGTCATGAGTGAGTGAAGGAAAAGCTGCACCTCTGTCCTGAGCACTGCCTACCTCCAGATACCACAAAGCAATTCCTAAGCTGATAACTCTGTCACGTAAGACAGCAACATATCTGACAGTGAGTCTGTGAGGCCACACTTCTGCCTTATAAACCAGGAGCTTTTCCATAAACTTGACTGGTGGCCAGTGACAAAAAGAGATCTCCCACTCTTAACTCACCACGTAGATCAAGGCTCCCCAACACCCAGGCTGTGATACTCCCACATGTTGCCACCTCACCACTAAACTTACTTACTTACCTACTGCTAAAGGGTAACAAGCTGCAGCTGACAAGTTACACACTCACAGCCTACTACAAGGTGAAATAGTTTCAGTTATTTCGCAGTGAAAGGGAGAGAGAATTACTCCACACAGCAAAAAATATTACCTAGTTACATACAGAAAGAAACTCAGGCAAATTGCCAAGAAAATCCTTACTGGCCTTTCAGGTGGAAGAAGAAAAAAGATTAAAACTTGTGTAGTACCAGAGTCTTCATCTGGTGTTCCCTGTGCCTCTCCCTGCCCAAGCAGAGCTAGCAGCCCCAGCACACCCAGGAGCTAGCCTGGAGGTACAGCTTTTATCTCTTCCCGCTCTGATCATGAAGTTTTTTCAGCTGTGCTGCTCAGAGTGCCTTTCCTGAGCCTATGGGGAGTAGATCTGTGCTGCTGCTGCTGTGTCTGTGGTGTTTCAGTGCCTGGTCCTTGTTTCCTGGCTGAGTTCAGTAGGTCGTGTTGGGTGTCTGCTCAGCCTCAGCCCTCTGGGTTCTGCTCTCCCCTTGCCTGCTCCAGGTGCTGTACAGCACAGCAGCAGCGCAGTGCCGGCTGCAGCAGTGGCAGGAGGCCAGAGTCACCCTGGATAAGGCTGTTGTGTGGAGACCTGAAGGAAGGACAGCAATCCTGGACATGGCCCTGGAGCGGGTGCAGGTGAGACCACATCTGTGAGCTCCTGGCTGTGTGTATTGGGCTCAGGTTAAGAAATACAAGATCAGAATGTGCAAATTGTTGTGTGTTTAGGTTTTCCTGTCTACTCACCTGCTTGGTCATCTGATAACAGAGTCTTTGCTGTTTGCATGTGATGTTCTACCAAACTAGTGCTTCAGCTAATCAAGTAACTCTGTCACTCCTAGGTGCACAAAAACACCATAGTAGAAAATTGTGGGATAACCTCTCAGGTTGGGGATGTTACTTTCTAGTCCCTGCTGTCCAGGAGCTTAGCTCTGTTTGTACCTGTGCTGTAAAACAAGTTGCCTTGTGCAGTGTTAAATGCAGAACCCCTACAAGTGCAGATTTGGAGAGGCTCACTTTTCATGACACTGCCTGACTTTTTTTAATTCCTTTGTCCTCACTGACAGGTGGGACATTCCTTTGTCCACCACTGACAATTGGTGGCAGCTCAGATATTAATGACAATCACATTTAGAGCTTAAGTAGAGTGTAAAAGTGTTTCCAGGGTTGGTTCTAAATAATGGTTTCCTGTTAGACTCCTTTATGATCAGGAACAATTTGCAAATCTCTGATTTACTCTTCCTGGAGGGTTAATTATTTTGCTCCCTCTGTACTTCCTTGTCTTATTTGTATCCTTTCTAAGAGATGATCACTTTTAGTTTTAATCTGATCACCTAGCATCATGCTTGTGCTTTACATTAGTGTATTGCTGATATTTGCTATTAGCATGCTACTCAGTGGTTGAACAGAGGAGAAAGAGGCAACATTTGAAGTCAAAGAGAAGAAATGCTTAGAGATTTGTTTAATAAACTTCGCTCCACTGGCCTCCCTTCCCACCCATCCAATGCCAACAGTTAGTCTTTGACTTAACACTGGGTAGTGCCTGCTGAGCTCTTCGTTTGCATGTGTTTGTTAAACCCGAGTGACCTTTTCCAAGTTCACAGCCATAATTTTTGCCCCAGTGTCTTCCTGGAGCTGTTTTTGCACACATAGGGAAGCTATACTTGCTTTTCACTGCTGTTATGTTTTGTTTCATATTAATTGATGGATTTTTCCTTATCTGTATTCCCTGCCCTAGGACTGTCTGTTTTTAGAGCCTATGCAGGTTCCTCTCGGGGAATTTTTCAGACCACGAAAGAAGGAAGTTGAACAGCTGGATTCAAAAGATTTCCTGGGTAAACCCAAGGTAACAGCCATGTGATTGGTAAAATTAACAGCAGGCAGATTAAAATGCCACCTTCTGACATCTCCAGAGGACGTTACTGTTGGCCACTCCACTGATTGCTGCACTCATGGAGGCCCAAGAGCAGGATCATCAGGGCTTGTAGCCCATCAAGGCATCTGGGTCACAGAAGCCAAAATTTGTTAGAATTGCCAGCTCTTTTATCAAAACTGCACTTTGGTGCTTCCAGTCTCGGTCACTTTAAATTCTGAAAAAGCTGAGCAGGTACTTAGGGAGCCCTGTGGTTGTCCTTTTGCTGACAATGACATTTTCAAGAGGAACACATTCCTCCAGCGTGCTCCTACTCCTACTGCATTCCCAGTGGGACAAACAGGCACTTGGGAGACAAATGCTTTGTCATGTCCTTTAACACAAGTCAGCAGAGCATTTCCCTGATTCCTTCTGTGACCAGTGCAGTCAGCAGAAGTGCCACAGGCCAGAGGACTCTCACATGAATAAAGGGAAGGGAAAGTAATTCATGTACTTTTAAAGAAACCTTGGAAAGGCTGAAAAAAACCAGGGACATGAACAGCTGAAGCTGTTTTGGGAATCCAGTTTGACTTTTTCCACTATGTACATGGCTCTACTTTATGCCTGACCTCAGGATGTCAGAAGGAAATGGGTCTGAGTAGAGAACCTTGCATGAGAGTCTCTTCATCCAACCTGGATTCATTCAGTCATTACTTTCTCCTCTGACAGGTGATCTCGTCCATCATTCCCAATGATGAGTACATTGGCTTCGAGCCTCTCAGGCCTCAGGTGAGCAGGACATAGCTCTGAAAGGAGGAATGGAGCTGTCATGGAGCTCCAGGTAGGGCCTCAGGTCCTAATATCATCAGGGTATGAACATGCTATCCAAAAAAAAAAACCAGTGCAGTACCAGACTGGATCCACAGGGTCATTCAAAGCCAGGTGGTGGGCTTCAGAATTGGCTGGAAGGGACTCAGCAATGTGAGTCTCCAACCCTTTGAAGATGCATTTTTGTCTCTTCACCATGTCACAACAGCAGTGGACACTTTGCTGTGCTCAACACACATTTACCCAACACTTTAGTAAATTTGTCAGCATAAGCAGGGCTTGCACTGTAATATGAGTTTCTTAGAACCAAGGGTAGGGGAAGAGCCTTTGTTACTCTCCTCTTGATGGGATAAAGAGGGAGGGGGATAAATAGAAGGTACATCATAGAATACCAGGTTGGAAGGGACCTCAAGAATCATCTGGTCCAAGCTTTCTTGGCAAAAACACTGTCTAGACAAGATGGCCCAGCACCTTGTCCAGCTGAATCTTGAAACTGTTCAATGTTGGGGAATCCACCACTTCCCTGGAGAGATTATTCCATGGCTGATTGATTGTGAAAAATTTTCCTCGTGTCCCAGTTGGAATCTCCACAGGAGTAACTTGTACCCATTACCCCTCGTCTTTTTCCATGTGACTCCTCCTGGTAAGGTGTGGAGCAGCAAACGTCTCTCTGGATGCTGCAGTATGACAAATGTGCTGAAAAGTAAAGCCATACTACAGTGTGGTATTCAGAGGGACAGGAAATCAGGTGGCACTGTTGCTGTTGTTGTAAACAACGCTGTGAGCACTGTTATAAAACAGATGCTGTTGTTCTTCCCACAGAAACAGGGATTTTATGAACCCAGCGCTGATGCTCTGCGGTAAGTGTTCAGTTCCACTCTGGTCTAACTCTTCTCTCACTATTTCTGTTCAGAAGAATGTGTTTTGATCTCTGGTGTCTTTCTCTGAAGACTCTGTGGGATCCACACCCACTTCTCACCAAATGTGGAGTGAATGACAAACATGCAAAGGGTTGTGTGGCTGCAAAAGACACTGCAGCTCAGTAGCACCTCTCATGCAGAATCTCAGGGCAGTTTGCAGGAGCTGATTCAATAATCTTGGGACACAAGCATGGATCATGCCATGGCTGGGGAATGGAAGCAGAGAGAGGTGGGACCTGCCCAGGTCAGTGACAGAGGATGCTCAGCTGTCCCATCCTAGTTCCCAGGGCAAGGCTTCTAAGTAATCACTCCCAGCCCTGCTGTGCTGAGTCAAAAATCAGTTCTGGTTCAAATAACCTGAAAGTTTTGGTGATATGGGATGAGTTTAATAATTGTTTTGCTCTGGAGGATGTTTATTAGTACAGTGAAAATGGGGCAGTTGCATTTGGGAAATCTGAGTGTTTTCCAAGCTCCTTTGGTTCCCAGTTGGACCAAAGAGTAGCAATGGAAATCACAGAATGTCAGGGATTGGAAGGGACCTCGAAAGATCATCCAGTCCAACCCCCTGCCAGAGCAGGAACCTCAATGAGATCACACAGGAAGGCGTCCAGGTGGGTTTTGAATGTCTCCAGAGAAGGAGACTCCACACCCTCCCTGGGCAGCCTGTTCCAAATCATAATTTCCCAACACTTGAAACTTTTTGGCATGTCCCATTTTGGATTGGTGCAATGTTCTGGATCAAAGCCATCCAGCACCATAACTCCAGGGATAGTAAAGGTGCTCTTGTTCCCATTCTTTCTTTCCAGAGACAGTGAATCAGGCTACTATCGAGTGTTGTCCCACTATTCCCCTGAGGACTCGGAGAAGGTGGCAGTGAGAGCCAGCAGTTTGGTCTTTGTGCTGACGAGAGGAGCGGATGGCTGGGCTACAGCCATACACGATGGACAGGTAAGGAAAACAGGTGGGGATTCCAGCCCATCCCCACCAGCAGAGACCACAGCCCTGCTTGTGAGCAGGAGCTCACTGCAGATCTCTGAGCACATTCCTTGGGGACCCACCTGTAGCACTGCAGAGCAGAGGAGGAGTTCAGGAGCACATTTCCACAGGCCAGTTGCTAACCATCGATTTCTCTGACACTTGGCTCCCACCACATTCTCCCATTCACCTCTGTTAGCTCTACAAGGGCATTTTTTTGGGGCACTTGTGCTCTCCACCATGCAGGAGCCTATGGTGGAAGCGTGTAGGGTAACAGACCTCACCAAGGACCACCATTTAGAGCAGTATTTGTCACCTGGGAGCTCTAAGGAGCTGAGGGGACAGGGCAGTCCTTACCTGGTGTGTAATGTCTCTGTTAAATTAACTTTGGGAAGGTTTTGGGAGGGTTTCAGCTGTGCAGAAAGGTTTTATAAAGGGCTCTGGAGAAGACCTAAAGAATTAAAGCCCAACAAATCCGACATCTTTCTGCAGACTAGGGAACCTTCCTTTCCCCCCCTTCCTTCCTTTCCCC